GTTAAACAATATTCGTGAAGGATTACCACTTCAAGAACTAAATCTAAAAATTAGTACAATAGTGATGTTACTGAGAAGTTTAAGTACATTAGATGGACTCTGTAATGGAACACGTTTACGAATCACAAAATTATTACAGTATAGTATAGAAGGAAAAATAATAACTAGAGAAGAACATGGAAATAGTGTCTTCATTCTAAGAATAACTTTAGACACAGAAAACTCCTCAAAATTACCGTTTCTTTTGTATCCCAAACAATTTCCAATCGTTGTGGCATTTGCTATGACAATAAACAAATCCCGAGGCCAAAGTTTCGATTATGTAGGTTTGTATTTAAAAAAACTTTTATTTTTTCATAGGTAATTATATGTGGCTTTATCAAGATGCAAAGATAAAAATAGTTTATTTATTTAAGTAAAAAGGCAAAAAAATACAGAAATAGAGAATGTTGTTTGGAAAGAGATTTTTACATAATTTATTGACTTTACTTAACGATTTTAATAAATAAATTGGCAATATTGATGGTAATAAATTGAAAGTTACTTAATAATATTTTATTATTCAACAAGTATACATGACAAGATGAATTTTTCTTTGTACGATGATAATTTTTGTTAAAAAAAATTTAATGATTTACAGTTATAAAATACAACAACAATTATTTTATAACACGTATACGTTGAAGCAATAGGTAAGGGACAGCCAGATTTTTTATATTGAGAAAATATTTATAAATATACATAAAAAATATTGATACATCCAAAACACGTATAAATTTATCATATACACACAACAAGTATACATGTGTATCGTAATAAATGTTATCAGAATTTACGATTGAGTGCAGCGAGTTTTATGTCTTCGTGGTTATGATAGAGCTTAATGTAAGAGGTTATTCACTTAATCTTCTAAATTAGGTGATACTTCTAATGTTATTATTATCAATCAATTATGTAACGTTTTAATTAATACATGTAATTCTTTCATGTCATATGTGTGCGTATAAGAATGAACGGATGTTCCATTGTTCTAAAATAATAGTAACACAAAAAAAAGTTGAATGCATCCAGAACTTTATACTTATCAATGACTTTTAACAATTTGATATTTATTATGTTATGATTTTTAATAAATTATTAATCAACATTATGACCTTATTAAACATGAATGAAATGATTTATTTACATGTATAAAGTCCATCTATTTGCCTCCTTGGTGGTATGGAAAAATAGATAAAAGTAAATATGTTTAAAACTAAGTAAAGTTAAAATTTATTGTTTATAGGCGTAATTTATACTTAATAGAAAAAGTTGTCAGGGCTAAGAAAAATGGTGTGGAAAGGCTTTAAAAGAGAAGAAAAATAGCGTGATGGGTCTGTGGGGGGACAAAAAAATGGTGTGGGGGTCTGTGGGGGGCTGTGGGGGGGTCTAAGCAAATGTTAGAAAATTTTATGTTCACGATGGAAAAGGTCAAATTTTAGCTTATTTGAGGGGGCTGTCTGTGAGGGGGCTGTGGATGGTCTGTAAAGGGGCTGTTGGGAGGATGTGAGGGGATATGTGGAATGCTCCACACAAATAACTATATAAAAGAGGGAGATATATACATAGTTGAATATTACATGTGTAACATGTGCAACATTGCATATGTTATATACTATATATATAGCAAATAAATACGCATGTACATATGAATATTGTATATGATATTATGTTTAATATTTGTGTTTAATACATTTTTTAAATTTTACTGACTCCAAAAATCGAACTCCAAACTTTTGGATTAGTAGTCAGGGACCTTATCGATTGTGCTACTTAGCATGCCGATGGGATTGCTGTTCTTATTATTTTTGGATACCAACCAAGAAACTCTTGAATTAAAAAATAACTTTAGCATCAATAACTTTTGTATCAATAGCCCTTTTTATTTTGTTTTGACTAGCACAAAATGTTGAGGAAAAAATGAAAAAGGCATTCTGGCAGTACTTGTTAGCGTGAGTGGGATAGAGAGAGATAATGATCGTCTGCTCTTGTACTCGCTCTTTTTCTCTTGTACTTATTAAGGTAGGCCTTTTTCATTCCTTTTTTTAATCTTCAGGGCTTGCAGAATATAATAAATTACACATGAAATATAAATTACATAGAATACAACACATTCGCAAATAAACTGTATTTTAATACAAAAATATAAAATGATGAATTTTTAGAGTAAAAAAAATAATTACTTTTTTATCTTAGACAATCGAATAACACCAAGTCCAATATCATATTCTTTAATGTCTCAAATCTGTTGAGGATCCCGAGATCCACATTCGATTTTGGTTTTAAGGACGTTTATTACAGTTAGCTTGGTGAAGGTTCAGAGAGATAAGAGGAGTGCAAGTATGCAGCAACGATGGCAATTACATCGCTCACATGAATATACCTAGATGTATGCTTTTAAGCATTCTCAATCCCTTTTTTTTTTTTATAAAAGAAAAAACTTGTTGGTCCATTGAAAAATTAAATAGATTCATCTTATTGTTATCTATCAAGCAAAATGAAATTGAAAAATTTTTTCAGGTTATTTGCTTATAAAAACAGTTTCATGTAATTTTTTTGCAAGGTCACATACTAAATTAAAAATTGTAGGATTTAACGTGTAAAAATCATATAGTTAACCGATCCGCAATTTGCTGTCAGCATTTTTTATGCTACAACAAATAAATGCTTGGATAATTTTAATAATAGCTATCGAAAAAATCTATATGTGATGAACGCCCTGCAGTGTCATTCACTAGCATGCAATAAATACTGTACTTTACTGAAAATAAAGTGCTACTACAGGATGGTTTTTCTAAGCTTTTTCGATACAAATATATTAGAGATATCAAGTATGGATTATGAATGAGTGTATAAGTATGTGACAGATGCAAGTACAACGAGATATAATCAGCGTAGATAATAGAAAATTTTTTTAAATCCTCGAAAGATTCGATCAAAGCACCTAGTCTTGTATTTCATAGCCTTGCAGCACGTCATTTCACGAATTTCGTTAAAATTTCTCTTGTCCACGATGTGAAGTTCTTGTAATTTTTAATTTACTTAATGCTAAAATATTTATTAAAACCACACCTTACTACCAAAAATCTTCATTTAAACGGTTATAGTGCTTCTCTTTATACATCTTAGTGGGTTATGACGAAAACATTGTTTTATAGAAGGTATTTTCATACATATATTTTTTGTCATAGAAGTGAAACTCTTTACTTGTGTACCTAATCCCCTCTGACCATTGGGTTTTTTAAAAACAAAATAATGCATAGAAATTTCTTAAATAATACCTTATTTTATCAGTATCTATATTAATAATATTGACAAGAATGTCTCTTTTCTATAAGAGAAAGAAATCTTATGGGAAAAGATAAAAATATGACAGGAAAATGATTAAAACACTTATTTAAAACCCAGAGATGAGATAAAGAGCATTTGTATAACGATGGTCTGCAGATTCATGATAGTAAGTCCCCATTTTATAGCTGAAAGCCTTTGTTCTGATAAACATAGTACACTCCAATTGATCTGTAGAGTCCTCTCTTCGTCTAGTTTACCTATCCTTGGTGAGTTGAGAAATTTGTTATAATATTTATTCCTTACTTATTTTTTCGGAATGTATCTTATATTGTATGCCTACGACTCTGCACCATGTTAGTTTTCAAGCAATAAAGAATCATACACTGAAAAAAATCTTAATTTTTGTGACAAAAGCCAACCCAACACTTAGCACCAAACTGTTCTGTCGAAAAACGGTGGTTTGGGGTACACACAAGAAGACAAGAACGTATTATATTTAACAATTTTTTATTATTTATATTGTTCAGGAAAGAGTGTGTTAAATCTTAACTCCCCGCTTGCTACCAACCAACTGCCCTTAAGGACGTTCATCACACATAGCGTTTTCTGAAGGATCTTCCTGAAATTTTTATAGGATGCTCATGATGATCTTAGAAAGTCAGATGTAGAATTTGAGACCATTTTACAACACCGCTCTTTAGATATTAAATGTTGATAATATTTAAATTTAACACGTAACCCTATGGAGGAGTCACATAAAAATTTAATTAACAAGAAAATGGTCTAAAAAATTTGTCCAATTTTTTTTTGCATGACACAATACCATAAAACTGATATTATACTGAATTTTCATAGAGATCAACAAATTACTTTTGCAGTTAAATAAAAAAAACAGTATCAGACGCCTATGTACAGGTATACAAATGCGTGCAAAACAATTGCCACACACTCGCTCCCCCCTCACCGCTCTTGAGTTTTCCCCCGCTAACTGTGATGAGCGTCCTTAACTCTCTGCTTCTATCCCCTTAACTTGCATGCACTTCTATCCTTCAAAGCTAAAAGTAGAAGGGGCGCCTGGACGCAGAGTTATGTGCTATCGTATATAACATGACAATGTTAATAAATAAGAGTCCAGGCCTACATAATAGTGCAGCAAAATGTCACTTCGAAATTTTTACTAAATATTTTGATCTAAAATTTCGTACGAATGTTCGTAAGAGTCAATGTATCAGAATCAAACGAAAAAGTTTTGTGGATTAAAAAGTATGGGACAGAATTTTGTCTACTCGAGTAAGAAATTTCTATACATTAGTAAGTTATATTTTTTCTGAAATAATGCAGGCATTTATTGAAATTTGACTAACACTAATGAAAACTAAATGCCATCAAGTACAACTTTAATTTCTTTCTTACTATATCACCAAAATCAGTTTGGTAGCTCCATTCTCCATAAATTGACAGAGGGCTGAGAATTAATTTTACTGCACGTTTTTATGGATATCATTTTTATTCCTACCAAAGCATCATGAAGAAAAAGTAGTACTATTGAAAACTTGAAATTTTCTAACTAAATTTCTAATTAGTATAATCAACAAGAATAAAATCTTATTTACTTTTTTTAAGTATTTAGCAGATGACATTACTATAGAAGAATTATTTTTTCATTGCAGATTGAAAGAGACCGAGCCACCTGCCGAAAGAGCGTATGTACTTGATGTTTAATAGTATTTAAATGCCTTCTTTATTTTAGGCGTTTTTCTAACTACTTTTTTTTTACTTCAGTAACATGCTAACTTTCTTTCATAAGGATCTTCTTTTCTGCTTTTACCTTGTAATAGCAAATTGAAGAATTTTATTTAAAGGTGTGTTTATTGCAGTCAAATGATTTTGTTTTTCTTACCTTTCTGCGAAAACTGTGAACTAAGCCTGCACGACTTTTGAAATAAATATCTTCACGTTCATATTCAACACCTCATATAATATCTTAAAATAGAAAATCCATAGCCACGAACAAATTTAACTTTTTTTGAATTTGAAATATGTTATACAGTATTTTTTTTATGTTATAAATAATTTTTCACAAGTTATGTATTGGTATTGGTTTTTAAGATATTTAAATTAAAATGTGTGTTTTAACATGGGCTGTAATACGGTCCAGCGATAAACGCTTAAAGTCTTTTAAATAAACATCAAACTATTTTTGTGAGAAATACTGCATCAATCTTTAAAATTGGTACTTTTATTCAATTCTTTCACGTTATAGTGTCAGTACTAAGTAAAGACAAGTTCATTGATTAATGTTTTTCTAATGACAAAAATATACATACAAATAGTTTTAAATGTTGTAATAATTTTGATGTATCTTAATTTTTTTTTTTTTACGAAATCAAAACCTTTTTTCCTTTATTGCTACCATTACTGGTCTTTCTATTACTTCTGTTATCATCATTTTTTTATTGACATTATTAGGCATGTATCACTTAATACATCAAGTACTATTTCAAAAATTTTCTTCCTTTATCTAAGTTCGTCCAGAATGCCTTGACACACAATAGGAGAGGGCACGAACTCCTTCTGTGTGTGGGGCTCGCAATCCGCTCGAAGACGTTCTTTCCTACTATTATTTGCTTAGCAATACCGACTCAATACCTAATAAACGTGCAAAACCTTATCTTAAAATAACTGATTTAAAATCCGCTTTCATATTTAAACTTCAAGTCGGGACCACATTCAATGAAAAATTCAAACTACTCCAAAAGTGTTAAAAAACATATATGATTTGTTGATATAAAATTTAATTCCAATGCCTAAGAAAAAATCTCAACTTTAATTGAGGAACCATTTGTTAGTACTATTCGTCAAGTGTGCAAAATGTAAGCCACTCCGTCATGGCGGTATCTCGCAATCTAGTGTTACGTAAAAGGTTCTTTTAAAATGCAATTGGACCGTAACACCTAGCTGTGATAACTCATTACAGGCATTTCATTTATTATGAGGAACAAATCTTTCAAATTTATTTTAAATATTAAATCTATTTACAGAGATTTACTATTTTTGTTCCACGATTCAATAAACAAATTATTCTGACTTAATACACATTCTTGAATAATTAAATGCATGCCTTTAATAAGTTCATTAAATTTAATTAAAAGGTGTACAACGTAGGTCAATATTAAAAAAAAAAGAAAAAGTGTACGTAATTTTAAGAAGATTTAGAAGAACAGTTCAAAATGGAGAACCGTGCAAAAAAAAGTGTATGTTATATTTGAGCATATTAGGAGTGGGCAGAAATTTTTTCAGACTTTTCACCACGAGAAATTTTCGAGAAAAAAATAATAAAATATTGACAGTTTAACACGGTCTCTTATAAGGGAGCCGGTACACAAGGAAGATGGATGACAAAAAAACCGCGCCTTACCATGGATTTTTTAAAAATATAAGCAGTTATAGCCGTACAATTTCAAGTTTGTAGAGTGCAAGAGGGGACGTGCGGTAAAGTGATCCCAGCTGCGCGGGCAGAGGGGACTCCCCATTCCTCGCCTTAATGAATGATACCCCCAAACCTCCTTAAACATCTCTTTTTCTTCGAGATAATTATGGTATTAGTTTGAATACACTTCAAAAAACAATTTTTATTAGACATTACGAAATACGCACGATAAACTTGTTAGTGAATACCCACGCATCTTATCTATTTTCTTAACTTGTTAATAAGACAACAATTGACAAAAAATGCATTTGTAACAAAACTTTTTCTTAAAAAGAAAAGCAATAAATACGAAAATCATCTTTCGTATGCTCATAACTAACAAAGCTGCACAACTTTCGTTATCAAAAGTGCTATTTATTTATGACTGTTTTCAACATGTTTTGCAGGTAAAATTAGACCACTTAATAATACTATTAAGTAGTAGATGGTTCAAAGAAAGTAATTCTTTTAACAAAACAAAAAATATTGTTGTATTTAAAATTTTTTACTATTTAAGGATGGGATACATAAGCATTTTTCAATCTTTAAAAATTTATAACTTTTTATGCTTTCATTTTTGGTACACAACATATCTGAGATTGTTTTTTCATTTTGGGCTGTATTTAATGAAAAAAAAATTTTTTGTATCAAGTTTTACAATTTTTATGATTTGTTAAAACAATTGTACTTCAAATAAATTGTACTATTCATCGTATTTTCTGAACAACATATTTATGTTGACTGGTAATAAATACATAGAACCACGTAAGTTTGGTAGAGCTATTTTAATTTGTTGACGGAAGGAGTACCAGCACAAGGAATAAGTAATAGAAATTACCAACATTTAATGTATAAAGTAACACACAGGCTATACCAACTTAGTCGTAATTTCTAATTATTGATTTAACATACACTTTTTTAAATTTACAAACTGTGCTATAAGGATTAAGTCATCAAGTTTACTGACTGCGTAGTCCTCGATACTTCTCAAAAAACTGATTCTTCTTTTCAACTTCGTATATCTAGTGATTATTTAATTGCTGCTATTTATTATAGTATATATTACATTAGACATCAAGTATTATTCAACGTTATTATGATTTTTAAAAAATTTGTGAATTAGTTATTGAAATGTTGGCAAACATATAAAGAACCTTTTTATTCTTTAAATAAAATACTTAGAATATTTAAAAAATTTTCAAGGCTTATCTCAAATCTTAACTCTAAAGAAAAATTCTCAAAATATTAACAATTCATCGATCAGACGCTTATGCACACTTAACACGATGTACTGGTATTTCGTAAAATTTCGCTTATGAACGTAACATCATGAATTTCGTTGTAGGTATGGCTCACCGTAAAGTACTGCAGTGTTAAGTTACATTGGAAAAATAAACACTTGCCCTAGAAGGATTCAAAAGAAAAATGCCCTTAAAAAGCTGTTTTGCAGCAAGTTTTTTGTAAATAACTTGAAAAACTTTTTGTTACTGTAATTGCTCATTTTAATTACCTCTAAAATGTGAATATTTATTATAATAATAATACATAAAAAGTGCATCAATCGACATTTTGTATTAACTAGTACAACTCACACCGTAGTAAAGCCAAAGAACATTATTTATTAATCATCAAAATGCTAAAAAAAACAATCAACTATTGTTACGGTTAAACTCAGCGGCTTGCCGAATGACTACTGATAAAATCCTAAAAAAATTACATTAAACGCTGTTATACTATTTAAATTAGCATTCAAAAACAATAACATAATGACATACGTATGTAAAGACAAGTATTATACTTAAATTAGCACTTTCTATAAGACGTGTTAAGCGATAAATTATCGCCTAATATCCTATTCTCTATAAAGGTGAAGACCACCAGCGCTCCAGTGAAATTCTTCCAAGACTTGAACATATCATGAGCCAATCGTTGTATCATGATACATGGGGACTCGGCAATGTGAGTATTCGTTGTAATTAACAAAGCGCTCGTGGTACTCTGCACTTTTAATATATAAAGTTTTTGTAGAGAGTTATTCATGAAAAATTTAATAATAAGCTGATATTAGCTCTACGATGTATTTGTTTTTACAAAAAGCAAAGTGTACAGTGTGTACAGTTGCCGCCACCCACAGCGGCTGCAGTCAACAACCACACACATCTCATCTCTTCATCTTCACCTAGTTTTTTATTATTATTATGTAACATGACAATCTTACAAGAGTAAAAATAAGCTTACACAAATTTTTTTGTTTTATAAATCATGGATTAAATCAAATTGTTTTGCCAGTGACATGTAAATAATAAATAACAGATTTCTAAAAGTGTTTATTTTGCTGTAAGTTTCATGACAAAAAGATTGGTACTTGTAAAATGCATCTTGGAGAAATTGAATTATAAATATAGAAAAAAACTATAAAAAAAATTGGCATTTATTTACGGATAAGAGAAGAAATGTTAATTTTATTAGTATTTAACGTTAATTACTTAAATCTAATGTTATACACGTGGACTAAATATCTTGCAATGTAAAATAAACATATACGTATAGCAATACTAAAAATATTTAACAGAAATACTTTTTTAATAATGATACTCACACCATAATTATATTCAGTTACAAGATTATATACGTACAGCATAACGTGCATGTTAATACAAAGTAAAACAGACTTAATGTTTCAGCAAACTTTAAAAACGGTAATAAAAGTAGAGTTTTACTTTCAGTTGTTTTTAATTAACTCTATAAATAAAGATAAATTAATGTGTTTCAAATCAAAAGTTATCAACTAAAAAAAAATTATCTACAATTATGTCGAAAATTTATAAAATACTAGTTTTAAGTGGTGTTAGGGATTGCTCTTATCTCTTTTTCATACATGTACACACATCACAAAGCAAATAACAAGACAAATACAGTCTATTAGTAGTTCGGTTTAATGAATATATTCATATTTCGAACTTTTACATGAGTCAAAAATTTACAGAAAGTAGAAAACGCCAAGCCAAGCAAGCTTAATTCTAATGGAATTTCTACTAAGGGCGTGGAGTACAATCACAGAAAAACTTAGGAATAGAAGAACAAAGAAAAGAAATCATTCCATCCTCGATAACTGGAATTCATCAGTCCGGTATACTAGCCACAGACGACTGGTGCAATATCGAAACGTACGATGCGAGTGAATATACGGCTCCTCGCTAGCTCAAGTAGTAGATCAACTGTTTAGTAAACAGGAGGTTGTGTGTTCAATCTG